GAGAAAGTCTCCAACCTTGGCAAATTCGTGCTCCAATAAGGGGAATAAAACATGTATATTTAATTACATAATGCGACAAATACTATAATTAAGTACAAATAAAAACCTACTGCTGTACCGTACATCCGCCTTGTGGCCCTAGTAAAATTTTTTTATTGCCCACTATTTTTTACTTTTCCTCTATTTCAAAGCAATTTCTTCAGGGTTCATATTTTTAAACACCATATATTTGTCAACCATTAACATTCAGTTATTTTTTTCCTGCTAATCATTCTTTTTTCTCTTTATGAGGAGCATTCTGATTACTTCCATAGTTTCATTTAGGCTTGTAACATTCTTTTTTATTTTCTTTAAAGCTTACATTAACTTTATCTTTACTGAGAGAAAATGATTCTAATAAACCTCCCTATTAGAGTTGTTCACACTCAGATTGAGCTGTATTTTCCGTGAAGACTCCTTTGAAACTCTCAGACTAGGATCGCTCAGTACCTACCATCAGCATTTTGCCTTGTTTATTAAAATCTATTTTTAAGCTTGAAATTCTAGCAAGTGAAAATATTTAAAATATACCTAAATCAAACTGTTTTGGAGGAGATTTTCCAAAGCAATACAAATGTTTATTTAGAGGAATCATTAACTGAATGAAAATAGAATTTGTTGCTTACTCTACAATTAAGAGTTTCTAAATATTTAGTAATTTAATGACTATTTCTCACTATTCTCACAGGTTCCTTACTACAAGCTCTAAGGTAAGCTACACTAAGGATTACACAAAGTCACAGTTAGTCTATGCTTTCCTTATACTCTTGTGCAGGCATCAAGAAGGGGTATGAACTAGTTCACATAACACTGAAAACTGGACCATTTTTTAGCTGCGCTACCATGCTAGCTCCAAAACTTTCAGTTCCCTTTTGACAGTCAAACATTATTAGTTAGTGATGTAAAATGATAGAAAACTGAAGATGAAATTACTGTGCTCAAGGATAGAAGATGGGTTTAAAGGACTCAAGTATGGAGAAATAAAGGGATACCGTAACAAGGCATGACAGTGAGGTCTTAGAGAGTGTCCTTAGTCTCACTTCGAGTTGTAACAGAAAGAGCAGAGTCTGGTTTCGTTCTTGATCCATTACTTAGTAGCCATGTGACCAGAAACATCTGCAGAGCCTCTTTCGGTTGTAGTTTACTCTTATTTGAAACAGGCTCCCAACTCACACCCTGCTTACTTTGCAGTGCTAACATGAGTACAGAATAAAGTAACATATAAAATGCCTTTGTCTACTCAGAACTATGCAATATAAGGTATTAAGGTATCATTCTTTTTATAATATTCATTGTGGCTTTCCCACCCCTAAACCTAAAAGTAACATGTTCACTGATATAAAGTTTGGAAAATATCAAAAGGTACCCCTACCCTGTGACCCCCTTCTCCCCCAATAAAATACAAAACCAACCTGTAATCCCATCATGCAGAGATGAACAATTTTAGTGTTTAGTTCTGGTAGTGGTCTGTCCTATATCTTCTTGGAGCTAGTGCGTGAACCCACGCAAATTATTTAGACTTTCTGAGAGTCAAGTTCTCATCTATAAAAATCAACCGATTTGGTTAGACAGCATCTAAGGTCCATTCTGGCTCTAGTACTTGCTTCCTCTGCCACTTATCAATTGTATTCAACAAGTATTCAGTTGGTGCCTTCAAGAACACTTTCCATCACTAGCCAGCAGTAGAACTTCATAATCTTGACTGAAAAGCCTATGGTTTGATGTGTAAGGCATTGTGCTGTATGCTGTAAGAGAAAGTCTCCAACCTTGGCAAATTCGTGCTCCAATAAGGGGAATAAAACATGTATATTTAATTACATAATGCGACAAATACTATAATTAAGTACAAATAAAAACCTAAAGGGAGAATATAGGAAGTATAGGGAATTACTGGTGGAAATTTGGAGGGAAACAACAAAGATTCCTTAAAGGAGATTGTGGCAGATACCGTTATTGCCTGCCCAAAAGCCCTGAACTGCTGACTTCCAGATTTCTGGCTATGTTATTAAACTAAACCACTATTTGTTTAAACCTTTATTTGGAGAATACTCTGTTATTTTTTCCTGAAAGCATCTATACAACAGTGATCTTTACCATTTTTGAGTACATATTGCCTAAAACAGTTATGAAAATATCGTGCTCACATATTTTCGTGAAGACATTAAAAAAATGTCAACATAAATGTACATATCTGTAAAGGATTTAATTTTCTATCAGTCATAACTACGTTATTTTAAAATAAAACCATAGTGCCACGCTTTTAAGTATATACACTAGAATCTAAATATCATTGTGATTTGATATCAACCATCATCCATTTAAAAACAAAACCAAAAACAGGGCACGTACTTCATTAAAACTGGGAAATTTTACTTGGTTTATTTTTCTCCTTAAACTCATATTCCCAATTCACTTCCTCACAGAATTTTATCCTGAAATATTTTTATGCTTGAAAGCCTTTTATTACTCTATGATCTTCTTCTACAACAAAAATATGTATGTGTGTGTGTACACACGTCTTAAATTACTGTGACTATATAAAACTATCTAGTTAAAGAATTATTTCAAAAGGTGTTTCAGCTAGTCCATGCTGATAACAATTGTTGGTAGTTCATAACAATCAGTTATTTAAGGTCTGAAGGAGCCAACAATAGTATTCAATTAATCAAACCAGCACTAATATATTTTGGTAATTACAAACATAAAAACTAAAATTTTATTAGAAGGGCTTCATTAATGAGCTTTTCCCCCAAACTGGTTCATGTATCCATTGATGAATATTACTTTTAGCATCAGTCCTATGCCTATCTTTTATTTTTATAGATTTGGGTGCTCAGAAACCTTGTTCACACAAATTGGGAAAGGAAAATAAAAGGAATTTGGTTAGAGCAGTCACTTGATCATTTGAGCTACTCCAGAGTTTTATGCCAAAAATTGCACAATGATTTCTAGATTAAGGAGTATTTTTAATAATCTACCAGCTGCTAAAAGAAAAGAATTAGAAACTACCTGCCTAATTTGCAAAACACTTTGTGACTTAAGTCATTAGATTCAGTCCTTCCACATCAATATTTGGATTGTCTCTCTGGAATCCAAGAGAATTTTACACTAATACACCCAAGTAAGATAAGGATTGGGGGTGGGGGTGATCTTTGTTTCCTAAAGTGGGAGAAAGGTAATTGTGAAAAGCAAGAATCAGCAAAATAACCAGGGCTGATGATGTACAAGAAGAAGTTTATAGACTTAAGCTAGGGATCCAGAAATTGACTCCCTTAACACTACTGGTGACCATGATTCCCTTGAAAATTCTTTGTATATCCTGAGGGTATGAATACTTTAATTTTTCTACTGTCAGATGCTGAATTTGATAATAAGAGTCAGTGTCATGAATGTAACTTAGGAAGTAGGTAGAACCAACAACAAGCAACAGTCAGTATGGACCCACTTATTCCAGCTAGAAAGGTGGCAAAGCACACAGCTAAAACGAGATGCTGAATTTGATAATAAGAGTCAGTGTCATGAATGTAACTTAGGAAGTAGGTAGAACCAACAACAGGCAACAGTCAGTATGGACCCACTTATTCCAGCTAGAAAGGTGGCAAAGCACACAGCTAAAACTGTCTCTGGTCCCTTTGGCGATCCTACAATGCTACTACCAAATGCTGGGCAGGAGCAGAGCAGAGAAGTAAGGAGGAAACCAGTGGCTTACTCTTCATTTTAGAACAGCAGAAGAGCTGGGGGAGGGAGGGAGTGAGGACGGAAGCGTAGGAGGGCTTGACGCTAGTCATTGTAATGAAAATTTAAATGTTTTAAGATAATACATGAATTTCAACAATGCATGAATTTTAAATTCTATTACAAATAAAATTTTAAAAAATGACTATTTGAAAATCTTCACTTAAATTTCTGCCATGGGTTTCATTTAAATTGTTCTTGCACTACTACCAGTGGTTTCATTGAAACTGAAATTTACTCTTTCATGTAAATTGATATTTACTCTTTTTAAACGCAGGTACAAATTAAACCACTTTCACCAGCAATAGTTACCAATGTCCCAAAAGAAACAAGTACTGAAATTTACTCTTTCATGTAAATTGATATTTACTCTTTTTAAATGCAGGTACAAATTAAACCACTTTCACCAGCAATAGTTACCAATGTCCCAAAAGAAACAAGTAGAACACCCCAACAAGGTTATGTAAGTAGAATGAGTACTCACTCATGGTGATGAGAATCTGGGGAAAAGTGAACCATCCTCTTGTTACTGACTGGGCCAGGAGTGGGCACCTGGAGGGAGATTTAAAAACAAAAAATAAGTCACGGATTGGTTTGTAATGGACAGTGGATAATAGGAACATATCCACTTGAGGATATCACTCTAAAATGGAGAATACAACATTAATTCTCATATGGAAGACAAAATTGCACGGAGCAAAAGTACAACTCAGCTCCTGGTGAGAATGCTCTACTTGTTTTGGTCTACTGTAGTTCCTCTGCTAGAATGTTAAAGCTATTTTGAAAGTGTCTTTACAATAGTGTAAACGTCTTTCTTAAGAAACAGACCAGTGACTCTTGTTTCCAAATACTGTACAACTGCACATTTATTTAATCTTATGTGAAAAAAGAGGTTTAATTAGATCAGTGTTGAATAGATGCCATTTCTGAAGACCAATGTTTTTGTAGTAGTTCCTAAATATAAATAACATAGAACAAAATGTAATTTTACCTAAGAGAACAATATTTTACAACTTTCTTTCTAAAAATAAAAAATCTGATTTTAAAAAGTTCAAATATTTTCTGGAAGGTATAAGCTACTCCCATTTTTTTTTAGAATTTCACAATTCCTGTCTTAGAGAGGGCTCTCAAAGGGAACATAAACAGCACTGTGCATGAATCTACCATCACAATCAACAAGGCATAAATTTACAGCAAAAGGCTTTACATTACACTCTATTGCAATAAAAAAATACCTCTGTAATTATTGAAATGCCATTTAAGTACAACAGAATTTTTAAAAAACAAATCATGATGAGGCAGTAAAATGTCTCTAAAAAGAAACTAAAATTTTCAGAAACTTATTTTTTCTTACATCACGAGGGTAACACGGATGCCAGCACATATTTAGGAATTCCAAGAAATGCAAATATTGCGAATGTGCATAGGTGATGACATTAGTAACCCTATAGTCTGAGCACCACAGGTAAACACGTGGCTCAACTCCAGGACTACATCCACATTCATCTCAAAATGAGGTTTTCATGCTATTCCAGTGGGTATCCCTGGAATACAGTAATCCATTTTCTACACTGTGGCTACGAGAAAAGCCGACTGTGCCTATGTCATGCTTTGTTAGAGGTTCATGATCACATTATCTCATGGTGGACCTGACACTTTTATTCAGTTTACAGTATGTTCTATGTACAGGCAACTTATTTCCTTTGCCAGAGCTGCTGACAACCTTTTCCACACTATATTAATCTTGTTTACTGACTTTATCTTGGTACAAATATCAGAAAACTCAACTTTTTATCTCAGAGAAAAAATAAACAACATGTTGACAGAAGCAGAAGCTATTTTCAGGACTAAAATTGCTTGTTTACCTGAAGCTATACTTATGGAAAAATGTTTAAGTCTTGCTCTGGCTTGAAATACATAATCTGAAATTTAATAAATAAAAAAAATTCACATACACCCATGTGATAAATTGCCTGATGAAAACAATGCAACCGAATACAATAAAACAGAATTTATAACTAATTTATACCATAATACAAATGTAAGCTTTCAATCTAGTCAGAAATAATCATACTATGTATTTCTCAGAAATCGTACATATGTATTAAAAAACCATAAACTCAATTCAATTTGGAAAACAACCCACAAAAGATTTACAGTATCCAATGTAGATATTTAAATATTTACCTAGTATACAGCCCTTTAAAAAAATAGAGGTGACTATTCTTTAAAACATGTGTTTAATATGATTATTAGCAGAAAACTTCAAAGTATTATAAAACTTCAAGAAACATACTTAAAGAATTCTTTCTAAAAATTTATAACTGTCTTATCATTAATTTGGGGTAGATAATAATCTTTATAAAAATAAAATGAAGCAGTTTTAAACATCAGATCAAAGTATTACTTTCTAGTAAACAATTAAATCTAGTGACTGTTTTATTCTCCAAAATATATATCTGACAGTAATTCCAGGAATGACTTAAAAAGAAATCACAAATTTTTTAAAAAGTACTACACTTTTAATATCCAATAAAATATTCACATAGTAAAGTTAATTAGTAAGAAAAAATAAATTTTATTTCATAATATTAGATAGGGAAGAGTATTCTTTTCTTAATGAGAAACAGTATCTCCATAATCCAATTCTTGTTATTGTTAAAACTCTGGAGACAATCATTTATGGAATTAGCCAATATTTAGTGATGATAACCTTAGATATCACATTACATATCCTGAATTCTTATGATTCATTTGTTAAATACTACTACATCAATAATGACCACAATACTAAATAAAATAGGTATACTTCTTTTCAGTAACCATGCTTATCACACACACACACACACACACACACACACACACACACACACACACACACACACACACTAAGCTAGAAAGAGATGGTTTCTAGATAACATAACTTTTCTGTCATAATGCTAAAAGATCACATGGGTCTCATTTTTTGCTACTGTTGTTGTATCAGCCTCAGAAAATAGGAACATAGTAGTGAGAGATAAAACTTTAATAACAGTTACGCAAGTACCATTATCAATTCATAAGGTCTGTAAGTATCAACATATAAGAATTTAGCTAAAAATTATCAATGACAAAAAAATCAATTCTCTCAAGTTTATTAGACACATTAAAAGCAACTTATTCTTTTTGTCACTGATGTGTTATCGCCAATTTTATGACTCAAAAAGAAAAACAGAATAGTTGGTTTTACTTCTCATTTTCATTTTGTCATTACCAAACCCAGTGCATCCCATCCTATTCTTTTCCAATTAAATAGATGAACAAATCACTTCCCAAATCTGGTAAACTTATCTGAGACACAACAGTCTTAAGATTAATACAGAGGTTATTCAATATGGATGATAGCCTACTTATATTTTCAATGATTATGATTCCTTCTGTAAATTAATAAAGTTTTATGTCCCCACGTAAGTACAAGAAACCATAATTCTTTCTTCTCTCCCTCTAACTACAGCCATTCCCCTTCAACTTTGCTCTGATTTTCTACTATATTTTATTTGCCTTCCAAATGCTATTCTGCTTCAGTGCCCACACTGATGAACACTTAGGGTGGCAGGCTGCCATTCAAAGGAAGGCCTTTCAATTTTGCAAGGACTGGTCAATCAAATCTGCCCGGCTTCCAGTCTGTAGGGAGGTATTGCCTGAACCTCCCTGCCAGTTTGTCGAGACCCAGAAGTTTCCTACTGTTCTTATGACAATTATTAATTTGATTCAACTTCTTTGAAAAAAAGAAACAATCCTTTAAAGTTTAGCAGGCTCTGCATGAAAGCCCCCAGTGTGTTCAACAAATGTGTCAGTCAAGTATCTGTGACAGATATTAAGGAAATCAACTCAATGAAAACAGGTATAAAAATATGACATCAAAGCTTGGGGGCAGGAAGTAAAAAGAAGAGAGCACAGAGGTGGGGGAAAAACCTATTTTAGTGGCTAGTCTATAAATTTACGTTCATGTAAAAAAAGCTAGGACAATAATATTCTAAATGTGTTGCAGTAATTAATTTTAATTACCAGTTGTTAACATAAATGTGTTCTCCATAAAGAAGGATAAAGGAAGTTTCTCCAAAAGCATTTCTAATAAGGGCATCTGTGTTTTATACTGGTGTTCTAAAAGGTTTGTTACAAGATAGTTGGGGGAATGAATAAAATATTTCATTGTGTCATCTAGTCTCATAATATTACAGAATGGTCACAATTCACAAAAAGCACAATCTATTTGGGGATGAAAAACACATTCAAGAAAATAACATTGGAATTACTTTTAAAGCAACATCCAGAAGAGTAAAAATTACTTTAGAATTGCTTTTAAAGGAAATACAAAAGGTGATAATTCAAGTAGCTGAATTGATTATCATTTATAAGATTAGAGAGAAACAAAGTAGTTATCTAAGAGAAATAAGGAGGAAAAAAAATCACCTCTAAGAAGGCAGTTGTATGCAATTTATCCCTCCCTCCCACTCTGATCCATCCTACCCACTTGCCAAATTCAACTTTCTAAATTGCTGCTTTTCACATGTCAACTCTTTCATGGCTGTACACCAAAAGCAAAATGAAAACTAATGAGATAGGTATTCAAGGGTCTCCCTAATCTGATCCTTACCTATTGCCAATGTGATCTAGCACCTAATGCAGCCTCTGATTGCTCTTTGTTCTAAACCCAATACTGCTTATTTGATACAATTCAATAAATACTCGCTAGCAACCTATTGTAAGCAGTATATGGTTCCCATTCCATTGAGTGATTTTAGTTATGCTGTTAAATTGAACTGATCTTTCTGATGTCTTGATAAGGTCTTGAGTTACACGGTTCCTCTAATTCCAAGTTTTTAGTGTTTTGTTTTTAAAGAATAAGAATAATATCAGTAACAAATTCATGTGATAATTAATATTTTATCTTCATTTGTCTGGATTTCTATTAAAGTAAAATATGTATTTATACAGCGAACCAGGAAAAATCCTCTTCACTGGCTACAAGAAACTGAAAAATAATAGGTGTACGCAGAATGCCTGATGTGTGCCTGGTCAGTGTCTGATACTAGGAGGAGGTCACTGAAGGTCCTTACCTCCCAGGAGTTTTAGCTTCAGACAATGCACTCCCAGAAGGAATGTTCAAGAAAGCAGATGATCCATTTCTTGAGACAACTGGATTACTTCAGATTTCAAAAACTGTTATGCTGAATTACTAAATGTATACATTATAACTAGGTTTTCCAACTAAGAAAATGTCTCAAAGTTGTGAAGTTTATAAAACCTAATAATGGTAGAGAAAGGTATAAAAGGTTCTCATCATCACTCAGATCTTTAAAATACCAATATTCACAAAAAATCTTGATCTTATCAGCAGAGCTCACATTGGTATGAATTTTAGGGGAAAACTTTTTATAGAGTCTATGTGTAGACTACACAGTCTGTGGGTGAACCTGATGATTTTTACCTGTTTGTCAAGATTAAGGGTTCCATGTTATTATTATTATTTTTTTTTGTCTTTTTCCGTGTCCGGCAACGGATCGCAACCC